CAGAGAGAGAGAGAGAGAGAGAGAGAGAGAGAGGCAGGAAGTCTGGGAAGAAAGAAGGAAAGACATGGATGAGCCAAGGCAAAAGTACTAATAGCTGGGCTGAGAAGAAGACTTTGTGTTTCAAAACCCAAGCCTCCACAGCAGGAGAACTTAGTTGACCTCAGAGGCCCAGACTCAAGACCAAAGAGCGTCCCTAGTGAGGCAGGAAAAGGGGCGTAGGCTTTTATCGGTTTTAGATGGATCTGTGTATTTGTTGTAGAATGCAGGAAAGCGAAACAGCGTTCTAGAACTCTGAATAGTCTATTATAGGCCACAACTACCACAGAGACGGTCAAGCCCAGTGAGCTCACATGTCTGGGGGCGTTGGGGGAGAAGGGGTGATTATGGGGGACAGAAGGGATCTGTGATGTCCCAGCAGTGGTTCCAGGTGCTGGGGAGTGGCTGGGGAGGTCCCAGCTCTCCAGAGGGAGTTCTAGATAGAGGGCTTGCACTCCAGGAATAGGCTTGAGCTTCTCAACGTAGGAATAGTGCCTGGACTCCGGTCAGACGCCGGTGGCAAAGGTGGGAATTCTCCCTCGCAGCATCTGGTGAGGGGATCAGACGCGTGACAAGGAAAAGCAGAATAAGCGGCAAGAGCCACAATTAACCAGAGCTGTGGGCCCCTCGGGATGTGTGCAGGACTTGAGGAAAACAGGCCAGAGGACTAAAGGGATCTGAAATCTGAAATCTCCAACTCCTAAGGCTGGGAGTGAGTTGCGGTTACTATTTTGCTTGCTGTCACTCAGTGAAGAGACTGGAACGGAAAAGCCAAGTGGGGCGGAAGGTTTCTTGGTCCACGCCATGTGTTTTAATACTGATGAAGGGCATTAAGGACCCTGACAGCCCCAAAGGGGTGGGACTCTAGAAGGAGATAGCCCGAGGGCCACTACGTGAGAGAGGTGACTCCATCACAAGAGGTCACTGCAGGTCAGCGAGCACCGACAATGCACCAGGTTGTGGATTAGGATGGCGCGCTCTGGTCACAGGCCTCTAACGTGTTTAGAAACCTGGCTCTCTGGGTCTCAGTTCCTCGCCTATAAAATGGGAACTCTAACATGATCCTGCCTTTCAGTAATGAGGGATGAATACCAGAGCCAGGGATAAGAGAAGAGGCATTTCTCCGCTCCCAGAACTGAAAGACAACTAATAAAATCAGAATCTTCGCTTTCCACCCTCATAAAAGACGTTGATTTGCATTCCAGGTTCTCGTCAGTTTTCATTGCTTCTTCCATAACTCAGGTGCAGAAAGCACCGTAGCCTTTGCATGCAAGTATGCAGCCTCCCACATCAAGAGTTCAAGAGGGAGGCAAGAGGTTTCGGGCAGCTTTAAAGAGAAACTGCAGCGTCTCCCAAGAGACAGCTTAACCACTGTATTTCTCACGAGTCATCCCAATGCAGTGGGGAGGTCTCCCGGAAGTACCCGGACAAGCACTGGAAGAGCAGCCGCCCCAGTGCCTGAAGTGCAATAAAGACAAATGTATTAATAAAGAGGAAGGTGCACTGGCAGGTTAGGACTCTGCCGATTCAAGTCAAATAAAAACGCCTGGAAATTAGACCCTTTTGAAGGTCTGTGGAGTTTTAAAATTGTTTTGAATGAATCCAACACTTGGTTAAACCAACCATTAAATCTACTGAAACATCTAAAAGTAAACAGAACCTGCTTTAGAGTAGGGATGGAAAGGGTTAACTGGTTAACCGGTTACCTGGTAAGTGAGTGGTTAACTGGTGGCCCTGCTGGGGTGGAATGGTTAACTGGTGGAGTGGTTAATTGGTGGCCCTGCACGGTGCAATGGGCCCAATCAGAAAAGCCTGCAGTGCGGCAGGTCCGGCTGGGCTGGAGCAGCCCCCCACCCGCATCGTGGGGGGCAACTCCAGCCTGACCAGGCCCACCACGCTGTGCAGGAGGCGGTTTTCTAGTCCAGCCAGGCCCTTCACCCACGGGATTCCCGGTTAACCAATTAACATTTAACCAGTTAACTTTTCAGAACTGGTTAACTTTAAAACAGCCCGATGATCAACTTTTTTTCCTGTCAGGGTTCAAGTAGCATTCCGGCTGCTGGGAAGCACGCGTCTTCGGCATGAAAATGGCAGCCCCCGCTGATTATCATCAACCCCTTTCTCAGAATGGTACTTTGGAGGCAGAGAAACCACTCTGCCGGAAACCTCTTTTTGACATGTCCTTCCTATATTTAGTAAAAGAGAAAGCCCCACAGAGGGGGAGCAACACCTGTTGTAACAAAACACTGCAGTTTTCCTTTAAAGGTCC